TAGCAGTCAAGTGCCTTAGGCACTATGCTACCAGAGCTCCTAATTTATTATATAGTAGCTTTTAAATATACAACCAAATGTTACTATCCTTTAAAAGGTATCTAGGGTAAAAATGAAATTTTCTCTTTCCCCACCGTCCTTTTAAATTATCTATCCTACTCAAAGAGCATCCGTAACTTTTAGGACTATGCTGAATTCCTTCTTTGGATTTCTTTGATGCCTAAAGCAGCACAACCACTTTGGGTTGTGCCCAATGGAAATCTGTTTAGCCTCTCCACTAATGGCCTACAATAGTAATAATGGCTAGCTATGAAGAACTCTCAGCTTCTTTCTAAATGTATCAGCATATAGTGATTTCTGTTCTTCCCAGATCTTCATTTCTTGTTTCCTTTCTAATTCCCGTTACCTATACAGGCAGTTCTTGGATTATAAACAAGTTCTGTTCCCAAATCTGTCTTTAAATGGAATTTGTATGCAAGTCCAACAGTTAGGTATGGTTTGTATCTAATGTAAGTTAGACAAATGTTTGCCTTAGTATATAGGATATAGTATATCTTTCTATGCATAAAAAACATTAAAGAAACACTTCCAGATACATTAAAATATCTTTAACATAATAATAATCATGTTTTCAAGCACTTCTCAAAGTAGCACCTGTTTGCTATTACAAACCACTGTATATACTTTGAATTTTTAATATAATAGGCTTTAGGGTTGCTGGTACATAACAAGTTGTACGTAAATTGGAGGTTCATAATCTGGTGATTGCCTGTATTTTTCAGATATAACTCAAAGGCAAAATCCCTCCACACTTAAATTCATCTTTTCCTTTCTCTCTTAATTTTGTTTTTACTAGAAGCTCTCTAAATAAAGTACAAGTCTTTTCTTCCCCAGTTCTAATCCGATGGTAAGTCTTAAATGCAGTTTTGGAAATTTTAGGGATTTGATACCTCAAGTACTAATTACTTTATAAACACAATTATATGTAGTCTTAGGAAGTACTGTCTCACATGAAAAAATTAAAACACACACACATACAATATTCTACCTGTCTTAATCCATAGTCACATTTCAGAGAAAAGATTAATTCTATGGAGTTCGTATTTCTGTATTTCAGTAATATTCGCTACTAAAAGGAACATATGGAGACAATCTAGTAAAGACAATAGTCTACTCCAGGCAGGTATGGTGGGAGAAGTGATTTTCCTATCATATATAACTTACTGTTGATTTATTGACTCTTATCTGTCTACAGTTCCCCACTGTTTTCCTCTGTTTCCCGGGTTCAGAGTCAATCAAAGCCGAACACCATTTCCTTGTTCTTTTTGTGGTGGAGGATCAGCACAATGATTTGTTTATGCCACCATCTTGCCAGAATTCCATCAATTCCATCCCAAATTGTTTTTTCACTAATATTTTCTAATAACTGCTGTAATAATGTTCAGCTTGATTTTTTTTCAAAGTTTTGCTTTTGGAATACAAAACTTTTTAATGCACATGAAATCACAATGAAATGAACTCCAAATTGTTTTGTCACAACTCACTTATCATAATGAATCTATAGCAAGAAATCACATTCTAAGTGTACAGAATTTTTCTCTCTCTCTCTTTTTTTTTTTAATTGTGATTTGGGTGAAAGTTTACAGAGCAAATTCACTTTCCATACAGCAGTTCACATACATTTTGTCTCATGACACTGACTACAATTTACCCCAATGTAACAGTTCCCTTCCCACTTCCTCCTGATAGTTACCTCTTCCCTGTGTCCATCTCTCCATGCATTCCTGCCCCCTGAACTGTCTCCCTGTGCATAAATGCCCTTCTTTTCTCCCATGATTGTTCTCTCCAAGTACTAACTGCATCTACCTCAGGTAAATGTTCAACTCATATGCCTGTCTTTTGTTTGGCTGGAAGTCACAGGTATGGGTTCAATTCCAGACCTGAAGGGCAGCTAGGGGCCATAGTCTCAGTGGTTTCATCAGGCTCTATCAGACCAGCAAACCTGGTTCTCCCCCCACCCCTTTTTTTTCCCAAATGATTTTGAGTTTTGTCCCATATTGTTCTCCCTTTCTATCCAGGATATCCTACAACATAGATTCCCCTCCAAGTGATTGACAGTGGTAGTCAGGAACCATCTAGTTCTTCTGGTCTCATAGTCGTATAGGCTGTGGATCGCATGGTGTACTAGTTGCTTGCACTAATTGTTTCCATAAATCTTTGGTTTTCTTCATTCTTTGCTTTGGATGAGGAGAGACCCATCATTGCATCTAGATGGCTGCTTGCAAGCTTTTAAGGTCCCAGTCACTACTCACCAAAGTAGGATATGGAACAATGTTTTGCGTAGTATGTTATGCCAATTGAGATTGATGTCCCCTGCAACTATGGTCCTGAGCCCACAGGTTAAACTGCTTGCTCCCTCTGGGTAGCTGGCTGTGTCCAAGAAGTGTAAGTGTACAAAATTTTGAGATGAAGTTATCTTTTTTAATAGTAATGATAATAAAGATCATTTTAACAATAAAAGCTACTGTTTATTAAGAGCTTATTATTTGCCAAGCAATGCTAAGCATTTTACATATTTTTATCTTTTTAGTAATTTAGTGATTGAAAGTTAAGCACATAAATATTTATATACATGATCTCTTCCCTTTTCTTTTTCTTATCTGCACAGATTTTTTTGTTGAAGTGGTGGTAAGTGTTGTTAATCTTCCTCATTAATACTAGTAGTGCATTTGTAGTTTAATATAATTTCAGCTGAGTATAGCTGTCAATGAAGTAAAAAGAAAAAAGAAGTTGAAGGGCAACTGCTATTTGATATCTGAAAAAAGAATTACTAAACTTCTACAATTAAGCTCAATTACTTTTACCTGACTTCTGAGTATATGAGCACAGAGGCCATGGGTCCATATTAAGTACTTATAATCCTTTACAATTCATTTTAGAAAATAAGTCTTAATTAATCCACATTAGTAATTAGTAATACAGGCCAGATAACAGAACATGGAAATAATATAGAAACTTACTCTCTACCACTGCTGTTGATATTAATGAGCCTTTATCTTAGTTTCCTGTAACTGATGATAAAAACAGGGTAACCACTTACTTCAATATGATAGAAGGCATTGGGATTTCAAAAAACTGTTCTCGAATAGGCACAAAGGGCAAGAGGCCAGTGAAAAACAGTCCAAGAATAAGTAGAACACGTTGTAGACTGAAGAGTATAGGAATATCTGAATTCTACAAAACATAAAAAATATTATGTGTTACTTTACAATTGCTAAAATAAAATAAAAAAGATCATTTCATAATCCTCAACATTTCCTGAATCTATATTGTAACATCTATTACAAGTACTTCCTGTATTAGGATATTATGAATATCCATTTACAAACACACCATACTTAGAAATGGCTGTTGTTGTTATTGTTATATGCTGTCGAGTCGGCCCCGACTCATAGCGACCCCTCCTTGGGTTTCCAAGGTGGTATCACTATGGAAGTAGATTGCCCAATCTTCCTTCCAAGGAGTGGCTAGTGGGTTTGAACTGCCAGCCTCCTGGTTAGCAGTTAAGTGCCTTAGGCACTATGCTATCTGGCCAGCAAACCTGGTATTTTTTTATGATTTTGAGTTTTGTTCCACATTGTTGTCCCACTCTATCCAGGATCTCCTGCACCGATCCCCCTTCGAGTAGTTGACAGTGTCAATCTTAATTTTATACAATTATAATGAAAAAGTAAAAAGTTTCCCTATATTCACAGCCATGCCCAGCAAAGATTAGTTTGAAGCAAAAGTAGTGACCCAGGCATTGTTCAGCCAATTGAGTGGTGCTGGCTCCCAAATGGAGTCAGGTCAATGAGCTTATCCTTCAGTACCAAGATGTTGGGTTTCATTACCATGGCTCCTCAAGAGAACAACACAAGTAGCAGTTTTCCCTTTAGGGAGGGACAACCTTCTGAGAACCTTTGAAGGGACTCAGTTGGGGGACTCTTAGAAGTATTAATACATATTGCAAGTACACAGGAATCAGATTGGAGTACACAGGAATCAGATTGACTCCATCTGTGGCAAAAGGAGATGGAAAAGCTCAATATCTTCAGCCAAAACAAGGCTAGGAGCTAATTGTGGAACAGACAATCAACTGCTCATATGCAAGTTCAACTTGAAGTTGAAGACAAGTAAAACAAGTCCACAAGAGCCAAAATATGACCTTGAATATATCCCTCCTGAATTTAGAGACCATCTAAAGAATAGATATGATGCACCAATGACCGAAAACCAGAAGAATTGTGGGATGACATCAAGAGCATCACCCATGAAGAAAGCAAGAGGTCATTAAAAATATGAGAAAGAAAGAAAAGACCAAAATGGACGTCAGAAGAGACTATGAATCTTGCCCTTGAGCGAAGAATAGCTAAAGAAAATGGAAGAAATGACAAGATAAAAGAGCTGAACAGAAGATTTCAAAGAGCAGCTCAAGCAGACAAAGCCAATTACTATAAGGAAATGTGCAAAGACCTGGAGTTAGAAAAGTAAAAGGAAAGAACATGTCGGCTTTTCGCAAGCTGAAAGAACTGAGAAAAAATTTTAAGCCTCGAGTTGCAATATTGAAAGATTCTACGGGGAAAATATTGACTGATGCAGGAAACATCAAAAGAAGATGGAAGGAATACACAGAGTCACTGTACCAAAAAGAACTGGTTGCTCTTCATCCATTTCAGGAAGTGGCATATGTTCAAGAACCAATGGTACTGAAGAAAGAAGTCAAAGCTGCACTGAAAGAATAGGCAAAGAACAAGGCTCCAGGATTTGATGGAATACCCATTGAGATGTTTCAACAAATGGATGCCACGCTGGAGGCACTCATTCAGTTATGCCAAGAGATTTGGAAGACAGCTACCTGGCCAACTGACCGGAAGAAATCCATATTTGTACCCATTCCAAAGAAAAGGTGATCGCACAAAATGTGGAAATTATCTAACAGTATCATTAATATCACATGCAAGTAAAATCTTACTGAAGATAATTCAAAAACAGTTGCGGCACTATATTGACAGAAAACTTCCAGAAATGCAAGCTGGATTCAGAAGAGGATGTGGAATGAGGGATATCATTGCTGATGTCAGATGGATCTTGGGTCAAAGCAAAGAATACCAGAAAGATATTTACTTGTGTTTTATTGACTATGCAAAAG